AAACAATTGGATCTAGCTGCTCAACATGTGGCCATGAGGGACAGGGATGCAGTCTGACTTTCTGCCCTGAAATGCAGGGGTGTGGCTAAAATGAGGCTCCACCCATGAACTAAATCTCAGTGTTTCGGTAGCGACATGAAAATGTGGGACAGCATTAATTGAATAAACAAATTTAACTAATTCATCTAAATCTTAAGGAAGTTAAATGTCTTGAGATTTCAAGATAATGTTATCATGAGATCACAATATAATGAACTTGTTATCTCAAGAAAACAACTTTGTTATCTTGACATGACAAGATAATTAACTTGTTATCTCGAGATAATGATCCCGGAAAATTGTAACTACCTCATGGCCTCTCTGGACGTCCGTAAAATCTTTCAGCTTCACTTGAAAAATAAATCACAAAATAATTAACTTGTTGTCTCAAGATAACAACTTTGTTATCGTGAGATTGCAACATAATTAACTTGTTATGTCAAGAAAACAACTTTGTTATCTTGACATAAATAGACAATTAACTTGTTATCTCAAGGTAGCAACTTTGTTATCATGAGTTCACAACATAACTAACTTGTTATCTCAAGAAAAACTACTTTGTTATCTTGACATAACAAGATAATTAACTTGTTATCTCAAGATAAAAATCCAGAAAATTGTAACTACATCATGGCCTCTCTGTGAAAACTTTCAGCTTAACTTAAAAAAAAAAAAAATCATAAGATAATAAACTTTTTATCTTATGAAAACAGCGTTGTTATCTTGACATCACAACATGACTAACTTTTTATGTCAAGATAAAAATCCAGAAAATAATAACTACCTCATGGCCTCTCTGGACTTCCGTAAAATCTTTTAGCTTTCAAAACCTAAAAAAATTGTATTATTTTCACAAGTTGAAATTTAGGGGTTATATATATATATATTACCACAGTTTGAACTGAGTCAGTAGAACGGTGTGTATATGAGGGATGACTCATGCTTGGCTTGCAGGTTTTCTAAGAAGCCCTGTCTTTTGTCCCCAGTTTAGAGGAATATAGCAAACATTTCCTGAACTGTGATGCCTTATTTTCCAATAATATGTGTCATCTTCTTGCTCTGGTATATGCAGCAGAGAAAAACCCTTCACCCACTGTAGCCTGACGTAGAGAGCAAGTGAATTGACGGCTGCTTTGATAGTTTTTATACCTTTCATCTGAGCCATTGATCGTCTAACACCATTTTCCCTTGATGTGCTCATAATTCTCCACAGACCATCGCAGAAATGTGCCTGAGCTACGAGCTAATACCAATATGAAGATCTATAAATAATTTATTTGGATTCTATTTAAGCCCTTATGAGAGAAATCTGGTCTGAACTCATCTATTGCTTCCATCATTGAGGTGATGTATCATTCAGAACATGATGGAACACACTTTTAATTTGTGGTCTGCTTTTTTTTTCCGCCCAGTTTCACCCTGGAATCCATCAGGATGCCCATCCAGCTCGGCTCTTTCAGGACCAGGGAGAGCTCCCACTGCTGCAGTACTGCAGATCTACCAGAAGGGGGCATCATACAGTCAGCTGTGTGCATTTACCCCATTGACACCAATCAGTTCTGCATTCAAAGGAACATACTGACAAATAAGTGACACATTTTTTTAATACAACAACCTGCAGCATTGTGATTGCTTATTTAACCTGGGTGTTTGCATCCGAAGTAATAACATGTCTCAATGCAAAAAACCCAATAGCGAAGGCCTAAAAAGCATTGCCTTTCAGCCTTTAAAGGGAAATAATAGAAAAATCAATTTCAGGCGCTGAAAAAGAGCACGAGTCATTGTTTTTGTCAGCCCTCGCGTGATGTAATGTACAAAAATATGACTCCGCAGACGCATTAGTCACATCGGGTAGAATGGACTTGGGAGTATGGATCATTACCGACCATTTCCAGCCAAATAGCCGTAATTATAGCTTTTCTTCTCACTGAGCCCCTGTGAAGGGCAACAGAAAGTCCTCCACGAAGGGTGATTAGAAAAAGGGTTTTTTTTCTCCTTCTTTCCTGCAGGTTACATATTTATGTTAAACAGGTAATGCATTATGCATGAAAGGCAGAGAATAGGAAAATGAAACTATGACACAAACGTCCTCAAGCTTGAGTATGAAAAGACACTGTTTTAAATGCTTTGTGTGCACACGTGTACAACAATAGGCATCTAAAGATGTGGAGAAATCAGCAAAATAATTTGTTGAAATGTTGAAAAGCTGATCCATCTGGGGGCCTATAGACTATACTCAGGGGCCTTCTCTTGTAAGCAGTCACTTAGGGCCTCTGAGCCACCAGGGGCCCGATGAGAATGTAGCACTTATTATTTATCCTCTAATTTATGTAGAAATTCAGTTTTGTAGATTCTGTTTAGTATAGGCTGTAACTGTCTTGACCATTAGCATTCATGCTAAGAATTAAAGAGCCATTTTTGCTAATTCTCTGCGTTATTTGGTCATTAAGATGTAAACAGAGTCATTCAGAGTAGTTTGATGTGAAATGGTTCATTGTAGAGATGATTCCTTTACAGTGGTGGTGATAGGAACCAGACGTCGCCATGTCTATGATGCAAAAATAGCCATTTTATTTACTATCCAAAACCACCAGTGAGCCTACACGTCTCTTCTGAGTTTACATATGTAAAGTTGATGATGGTAAAATAGCAGAAAATCTGAAAAAATACATTTTCTTTGGGGACTATCTTGCCTTACAACACCCTGCATGTATCCCTCCACCATGAACAGAAGTTTAAAAGTTAGAGTTTAGGATAAAAGATCAGTTTTCTTGGCCAAAATCTTCTCAGAGCTATTATAAACCTATGTCTCAGCCATGAGGCAGTGTATTCATAACCAATTGAGCTTTTCATGGTGGACGTCTGGTTCCTATCAGTACCACTGTGAACAATTCTGACAATTCTGACTGGAGCATTTCACATCAAACCACTCTGAATGGCTTCATTTACATCTAAACCATATAAATATGGAGAAATTTTGGGAAATCAATGGAATTCCCCTTTAATATGTCTGGGGTGGATAGGGGTATAGGGTACGAGGTCCAAACACCAGAGTCCCTGTCCCTGTCTTCAAATGTAGACTGATTGATGTCTTAGCTAAAGGTAGTTTGGACTCTAATCTATTTGTCTAATTCCATTTTTGAGTGGTCAGCGAAGCACTTTTGTAAGTCGCTCTGGATGAGAGTGTTTGCTAAATGCTGTAAATGTAAATGTGAATCAGATGCTGCTTAGGGCCCCTCCATTGTTCAGAAATGGCCCTGCCTACAGTTTAAAGCTTAAATTAATGCTTTGGGTCTGCGGTCAAACATTGCAGACATTTCAGATTCAAACTGCACTAAAGAAGCCTGCAAATAAATGTGTGTGGTCAGTTTCTTTGTGAAAATGTTTTGTCATTAGCAGTCACACTAGTCCTTGCGAGTGGACATGAACATGACCACAAGTTGACTTTTTCATGTTAAATCACAGATTTCGTCTTCCAAAGTTTCAATTACATATTACTTGTACCCAAAGATTATTTTCCCATCTCAGTAACCATTTTTATGTTTTTGTGTGGATAACAATGAGAATGATCATGGCTTTGGGCTTGTGATTGAGGGGAATATGAGGAGCGGAAAATTTCAGGCCCAACTGGCCACCACACTCCCTGTTATCAAGCTTAGACTTTAACTACATTCATTTTGTATGAGGGGTTGGACATGTTATGCTTGTTTATGGCTAAATAAGTTGGTGTGATGTGGTAGAAAGCCACAGAGCTCCTAAGGTGACATGGTGATTATTTTTTAATAAGACGCGGCCACTAATCAATATATTGAGGCCACAAGTTAAGTTTCTTGTAACTCCTGGCTGCAATATATTAATTTGTGGCCTCATCATAATTTGTGGCCTCAATGTAGTAATTTGTGGCCTCAGTATATTAATTTGTGGTGTCAATATAGTGATTTGTGGCCTCAATATAGTGATTCGTGGCCTCAGTATATTAATTTGTGGTGTCAATATAGTGATTTGTGGCCTCAGTTTATTAATTTGTGGCCTCAATATAGTGATTTGTGGCCTCAGTATATTAATTTGGGCCTCGATATAGTGAATTGTGGCCTCAATATAGTAATTTGTGTCCTCAATACAGTGATTTGTGGCCTCAATATAGTAATTTGGGCCTCAATATATTAATTTGTGGCCTCAATATAGTGATTTGTGGCTTCAATATGGTGATTTGTGGCCTCAATATAGTAATTTGGGCCTCAATACATTAATTTGTGGCCTCAATATAGTAATTTGGGCCTCAATGTAGTAATTTGTGGCCTCAATGTAGTGATTTGTGGCCTCAATATAGTGATTTGTGGCCTCAATATAGTAATTTGTGGCCTCAATATAGTGATTTGTGACCTCAGTATATTAATTTGTGGCCTCAATATAGTGATTTGTGGCTTTAATATAGTAATTTCGGCCTTAATGTATAAATTTGTGGCTTCAATGTAATGATTTTTGGCCTCAATATAGTAATTTGTGGCCTCAATGTATTAATTTGCGGCCTCTGTATATTAATATGTGGCCACACCTTATTAAAAAATAATTACCATGTCACCTTAGGGGCTCCTTAGAAAGCAAAACTTAAAGACACAGATAAATTATTAAATTTAACTGAAGATTAATGTTTTAATGTTACATTTATTTGTGTACTATTAACAGGGAAACAGATACACATCTGAGAATGGAAAAAAATGTGACGCTAATATTACCTTTCTTTCTAAATTTTTGGACGGAACTTTCTGCGTCTTTTCTACTCGCAATAAAATAATAATAAAAAAATTCATACACTGCAATAATGATGAACTTTGAAGTCAGATATTTAAGCTTGAACAACACGTATTAGCAGATTTCTGTCTCTAACATAACATCGAATATTGTCGACTGGAATGTCACTCAAATGACCCCGGAACGTTCTAACCAGCATCGGTTTTTCAGGGGAAGACAAAATATGTAACACGAAGCTAGCTAGCTATGTAGCTTGCGATGCGTATGAAGGCGGTTTTAAACAAGGTAAACGTTATTTTGTTGTCACATAAGTGTGATGAGCCACAGCTTAAATAAAAACGCTTTCTCTACAGCTAGTAAGTGCAGTGTTGGCGATGTACAGCCTCGTCTGACAGCTACTGGGCTACCTTACGATATCCAGTCTATTAACGTTTTCAGCCCAAAGAATAGCCAGATAGCGTTAACGACACGAGCTGAAAAACGAATGGGCTGAATCCCAAATGACTTATAGCTCCCTACGAAGTGCCCTATGTAGGTCAGGAATTTAACGGCTTCTGGACCCAAATACTGCATAACATGTCGAGTGGAAAGCAATGTATACTAAGCCAATAGCTGAACGACTCCCTGTCTAACATTTACTGCACTATTTGAGTGTAAAAGCCATAGTTTCATGACCTGTGCAGTGCCCTATGTAGGGAATAGGGACCCATTTGAGATACAGCCGTATCCCAAGGCTCTCAAACAGTGCAGATAGTCAAGAGCTGATCACTGTAAGCCTATTCTGAACCAGCTCTTCTCAGTTCTAGGCTTTGGATGCTATTGCACTTCACCCATCTTGCCCAACACACCTCACCAACTCATCGCTTGGTAATAAAGTTTTTCAGGGAAGAGAAAAAATGTGCAGTGCTTGAGATAAAATGCTATGATAAGATAGATCTTTATTCATCCCAGAGGAAATTCTTTCTTGTGCTCAGTAACATAACAACATGAGAATAAAATACAATAGAGTAATAAATGTAACAGCAGTGCCTAATAGAATAACAATAAAAGTAATATAAATCAAGCAAAATAGGCAAGCTAGAATAGAAAAGTGAAAAAAGTGATGTGGAAAAATAATATTGCACATGATACTGATATTATACTCCGTAGCCAAGGTTTCATCTGTCCTTCCTACAGTAGAGCCGGAAGTTATTCAGACTGATAGTAGAAAAGAACTCCAGTGGTGCACCCCGGTGGTCTCAGTCTCCGGCTATGAGGCGGTGACTGGAAACCATCTTTTAATGACCTGATTTACCCTACATCTACAGCAAGTGGGAAGAAACCAGACAAATGTATGATGTTTAAAGGAGAATTCCACCAATTTGTCAAATGTTCTGTGTAATTCAATCCTTGAGATGTTAAAAAAAAGGCACTCAGAGTGGTTTCATGGGAAATGTTCCATTCCAGACAAACTTACTGACTCATTTATTTAACGTGACGGTGATAGGAAGAGGTTGTGATGTATACAAAGCAGAATGACCAGTGAATCTATACGTGTCATCTGATATAATGTTAGAATAGTGGTATATCTGAACAGATATGTTTTCTTTGGGAACTATTTTGCCTTAATAGACCCTGCATGTACCTTTCTACCATATCAAAACAATGCCTCAGACAATCGGCTGCATACTTATAACCGTTTCAGATAACAGCTTCCTTTGAGGCAGCTTTCAGAGGCATTAAATGCTTCAGACGTCTGGTTCCTATCACCACCAGTGCTGACTCACAGTTTCGCAAGAACAGAGCATCTTATATCAAGCCAATAAGGATGACTTCAACCATTTATTCATGCAGATTTTTTTGAATCAGTCGGGTTCTCTTTTAAGGCTTAGTAGGATTTTCATGTTGATGAGTGTAGGTAGGCCTAGATTGGGGACTTGGATCTACCCACCATGTTTAAGTCTAGTCTGGTTTATCTTGTGGTTCTCCCATGGCTTTTAGGTTTATACACTGGATAATGTGAGGCTGTAGCATGGCTGGCCGGATCCCCCTCATCCTGTTGGCATGTGGCTCGTTTAACCCCATCACACACCAGCATATGAGGCTCTTTGAGCTCGCCAGGGACCACATGCACCAGACAGGTCAGTTCACTTTCACAAACCACCCATTTTCTGATGTAGCCAGCTGGTTGACAACAACGCTTGCTGGTCTTTTTTCTTGTTAAAACAGAATATCACCATCAGCACTTAACATAATCTAATGACCGTACTTAGTTAGACCTTAATAACTGTATTGTAATACAGTGCTTTCAATGCCAGACTATGAGGCCAAGAATTCAAAGTTAGCAGTCTTTTCCTTGAGTAAAATCGCCGTTTGCAGTTTGTCTTATGCTCCTTTCTATAAAGATAACCAACGATAGTACAAAGCAGCATAAGACATTGCCCGTTTAAAGGCTGTTAGTTCAGATACTCATTTAATATAGGCTTACACGGTCTTTACATGGCCTCTTCATGGGGGGTCTGAAGCTTCCTGTAGGTTTATTTGCTGTAGGCTGTAATTTGTCAAATGGACTTTCCAATTTTATAGTCCATTAAATGGACCCTTATTATTATTTTTTTGCAACTACTGTGTTCACATGGGAGCACATGCATCTCTATTCAGGGACCTACCACTGGTTTTGAACTTCACTAAGTGAGTTTTAAAAGTGCTGTGGTTCTCTGCTTGTCTACTTGACTTCTCTGTTTGCTTAGCCCTCCTGTGGTTAACTTGGATAATAATTCTGAAACATAATTTATCAGACATTTGTTCCAAACGTGACTGTCGGTGAGTATTAGCACGTAGACCAGAGCTTATTCGGAGCTGCAGGATACGGGCGAATTTCAACACTATATGGCCAAAAGTATGTGGACATCTGACCATCACCTGACTATCTATATGAGCTAATTCATCCCTAAAGATGTTCACCGAGCTTGAGGTCAGGGCTCTGTGCAGGCCACTGAAGTTCCTCCACACCAAACTCATCGAACCATGTCTTTATAGACTTTGCTTTGTGCACAGGGGATCAGTCATGCTGGAACAGGAGAGGGCCTTCTCCAAACTGTTGCCACAAAGTTGGAAGCATATAATAATCTGAAATTCCATTGTATTAATATTACCCTTCGCTGGAACTAAGGGGCCTCAGACCATTATCCCTCCTCCACTAAACTTTACTGTTGGCACCATGCGTTCCAGTTGGTAGCATTGTTCTGGCATTTGTCCACTAGACTTGTGCATAGTTATCTTAGGCTTGTGTGCATCTGCACAGCCATGAAAATCCCTTTCATGAAGCTCTTGATGTACAATTCTTGTGTGGAAGTTGCTTCCAGAGGCAGTTTGGAACTCTGGAGTGAGCGACAACAGAGGATAGGCGATTTTTATGGCGGCCCCGCTCAGCCCGTTTCATGGCTGAGCTGTTGCTGCTCCTAGATGCTTCCATTTCACAATAAAAGCTGACCAGGGCAGACCTAGCAGGGCAAACTGACTTGCCTATGTCACTGCCACGTTTACAGTCACTGAGCTCTTCAGTCCAATGCATTTCGTACACCTGTTAGAAATAGGGTTGGCTGAAACGCCTGAAGTCAATAATTTAGAGAGGTGTCCACGTACTTTTGACCATAGAGTGTATATTGAGCAGCCTTCTGTAATATCAGTTTTTCAAAAATTGATATCAGAATAATTATGTTGTGCTTCCCTAGTACTGACACTTTTTACTGGCAGGTTTGGACACAAGCTCCCTTTCCTCATTGCAGGTCTTTATCAAGTTGTGGGTGGAATTGTATCTCCAGTCAGCGATGGATATGCTAAACAGGGTCTTGTTTCATCAAAGCACCGTCTGGCCATGGCTAGACTGGCTCTGCAGAGCTCAGACTGGGTTGCTGTGGATGAATGGGAAAGCCAGCAAGCTGATTGGACAGAGACTGTGGTCACTATGAGGTAGGCATTCCTCTTACCCAGGATTTACATTAGCATTCGACAAGCAAGCTGTATTTTCATATGGAAATAGGCAACTTATAGCTGCAATTTAGCAACAAGCTCCAAAATGCATATGAAATATGTGCAGAGAGGTGAGAATCTAAACAATTGGGTCCAGCAAATTCCTCAGACTAATCATAAGAATTGTTGCAGCCCAATCCTACTTGTCGTTCCTACCCCTATTTTATTCCAACTCCTACTTGCCAAAATGTAATAGGAACTTACAAACCACATAAATTTGCAGACTTCTAACTGCAGTTCTGCAAATAGTACTGTGCAAAAATCAGAGATAACCCTTCATTGATTTAGGCCTCAACATTTATACATAATATAAAAGTTTTCAGTATTTAATATGTTCCCATTTTGCCCTTATTACAGCTTTAGTTCTTTTTGGTTGACTTGCTTTTAGTTTTTTCCAGGATCTTTTTCCACACCTCCAAAGTTCAGTCTTAGAAGTTGGTTACATTTTCTCCTTCTCACAAACTAAGTAATCCCAAACACATTCAGTGATGTTGAGGTCTGGACTCTGGGGTGGTCACTCCATTGTTCTGAGATCATCAATAGCTTTTTGTTTTATTTACAAATTTTCTTCTTTTTTTTTATCTTTTTCCTTTTCTCGGTAACAGCTTCTTGACAGCTACACATCCTTTCAGATCCATAGCGTTGAGTTGTCTTCTCACAGTGGAAAGATGGACAGTAACACCTGTCGATTTTTCTTAGATCTAAAGCGGAAATGGAGCTTGATGTTCTCACTCTCTTTTAAAGATGAATACTTTAAGTGCTGTATATCTGATGGTGACAGTTTTGGTGGTCTACCACGTCTTGCATGGTTGTTTGGAGTCCGGTTTTCATTATTTCACTTAATTACAGTTCTGGAAGCTTCTGTTTTTTTACTTATTTTCCTTTGAGGTTCTCTTTTATGCAGGTAAATCTGTGTCTAATCTCAGAAATATCTCCTGAAACAGGAATAACTTGTACAGAATGGCCACTTTAGTGCAAGATTTCGGACTTTTGCACAGTCCTGGTTCGACATTAGCAGGTTGTTGCCTCCTACTGTGAACTTGTGGCAAGGTGAGGCAGTCTAAGAGATCAAACAAAAAGTTCAAATTCCCCGTTTTTCGCTGAAAGTATTTTGGCAGAAAGGCTGATAGGGACATGTCTTGTCTTTGGAACACATCTGGGTCACTGACTGTGAAGAAGACATTAAGCAGTTTTGACAGCCAGCGCTGTTGAGCGCTGATTGCACTTGCTTTTTTTTTTGCCCTGAGAAATGGAAGCAGCAGTTCATAGATGGGGAGGAAGTGGAGAGGTGCCGCTGAAAATGGAGAAATATTTCCTTGCTTCAAAAATACTGTGGAGTTAGCTTTTCAAACACAGTCGAAATCGCTGACACTGTAGTCAAAACAAGCTGCAAGCTTTGAGTAGGACGTGTTCTTCAATGTTGCATCATCTTCTTCATCTCTACTTTCCCTTAACACAGCTCACCATTTGTGAGGCAATGATTGAGTATGAGAATTTACCGGAAGCTTTTGACGCTTTGCGGGATGGAGTAGTGCTCGAGGCACATGGGGTTCGTGAAATTGGTTCATTTAAGAATTTAATGAAACAAAGGCAGCACACTGAATTAGTGGCCCGAGCTGAACCCTTAGTGGAACATGAGGGAAATTATAAGAAGAGGCAACAAGTGTGCGAAAGGAAGTGTACTAAAGTTGGATGTTGTAGAAGCCAGTGTTGTAATAGTTTCCCCATAATGTAATAACCCCAAAAATATGATAAAAATTGCACTTAACTTGGTCAAAAATGTAATAAAACCCAATAATGTAATACACTGTCTGAGCCAAAAGTCTTGTACAGTGCTTTTCTGCTATACACAGGAATCAGCCCAGCCTGGAGTGAAGGGAACATCAATGAGACGACGTCTTAGAAGAGTTCATTCTTCTTTCAGAAACAACCTCCACTTGTAAAGAGTAACTACACCCCACTATTTACTGACTTCACCCCTGGCTCCTCTTTGAAATATGCTCAAAAATGGGAGGAACACGCTGGGAGGGGCACTGCAGTGATGTACGGGTTTAGAGGTGGGCCTGCTAGGGAAACTGGGTGGGCTGGGCTGCTGAGTTTTTAGAGCTAGTGTACGTTAGCTACCAGAAAATATGGAGAGTGACAGAATCAAACAGCACTTTTGCAACTGAGAGGTCTTACAGTGTTGACGATTTTTCTCCACTACCATCACTAACTCCGACGAGGGAAGGTGTTTCTGATCAGGCAGTGCGTCCTGAGCCTTAACGGAATGAGCCGCTGACTCAAGCTGCCGAAGAGTTAATGTAGTGCCAGAAAATGTTTAGCAGCGAGCGTGAGAGGCGTCCGAATAGTAGAACATCCCCTAAAGCCATGACAGCTACCTTCTAATCATCTTTTCAGCAGGTCCATATTCGATAAAACGCTGTACGGACGAAAGGTTGACACAGTCAGTAACAATGGCCATTTGGGAGTTGCGCTCCCGAGACTTTGATTCGTGAAGGGAAATGTGAATCGGATGCAACACTGGCAGCTTTATGGAGACTTGCAAGAATCCTTACTTAATCGGTCCTTCAGGTTGCCTAAGAATACATTGAACATAGAGCTGGGCAATATGGCCTAAAATCTTATCACGATAAAAAATTTCATATCAGTCGATATCGATACATATCACGATAAATGTCAAATCATTATTTCTTGCAAGTTTGAAGGCTAATTTTTGCTCCTGAGTTGTCCTTTATGGATATTTGGCTCTTTTTTCCTTTATGACCAAACAGTGGAACATTTCACAAATCTGTCAGGAGACAGTGGGAGAAAGTTTCTGGTTGGCTGTCTTTACCAGCTGGAAAAGCACAGCTGTAGTTTTCGTAATAGTCCTAATTTAAGAAAGAAAACAGATTATTTTTGCTGTCTGCTGAAGAGTGCTAGGCTATCTGGTTACAAGTGCTAAACTGTTTAGTTTCTCAACAACGTCAGCTTAGTACCAACAGCAAACATTAGCTGGCTCGGTACGTCAGTGATAGATCACATCGCCTTACTGCCGTCAGTCCCACCACAGTATTCAAACACAAGCTAGCAGACGCCTGGATTTCTCTGTTCTATTGTAGTGTTTGAGGGGTGAACCGCAGTATATCTGACGCTCGCTGGTCCTCCTTTTAGGTACATTTAAACTGAAATCAGCCAGTACAGTTACACCACTTATCTCCTGACTCGCACTTGGTCACGGGAGAGCAGATCGCCGATCGCTCCACTCAAACAGGGAATATACAACTCCATGTTTCAGATGTTGCTAAAGTGTATTTGGCGACTCATTTCACTCCTTGACCCCCCACCTCTCCAATCATGTCGAAAAACTTGGAAGTAGGCCCTCTCGTGGCCACAGCAGAGTAGTGTCGCTTTTGCAGTAAAAAAATACCACGGCGGTCATGGAAGTGTGAGAATGGTCTATTATATAGAAAATTTATCAAACATTTCATATACTTATATCAAGTAAAGTTATATCGCGATAATTATCGTTAACGTTTTATCGCCCAGCCCTAATTGAACATTATCAATAAATGTGCTAATCATAACACCTCTATTACAAACTGAGCTCAGATTAACTGGGTTATTTACAGTTGGTACAGACAGCTGGCATATTACAGCCTTGTGAGGTGGTGCTGGGGGTATTTAGCTTGTGAGTGTGTTTATCTCCTCTCTCGAAGCTCCTATGCTTTCATATTTATAAGTGCAGCAAGAGTAGGGTGTCGTCTGAGGGCGGTAGCATTGGTTGACTGATTTGCATACCGCAACGTGTCATCATACTTTGGTACGAAGACACATCATCCGTGCCGCGAGTTGAGCCAGAGGGGCACTGCAGAGGCGGAACTGACCACGATAAAAATGATATTTTTACAGTTTGGAAAGATGTGTTCACATTTTAAGCAAGGCTGGTATATTTTATTGTTACAGAGCAGTGCATTTCAGCTGTTAATGAAAAAAAAGGTTCAGGGTGTAGCTACTCTTTAAGCCTCTGGTTACTTGTTGACTCTATGACTTGTTTAGTCTGGGCAAAGTAAAAAAGTGTTACGAAAGTATGATAAAAAAAATATATATATATATATATATATATATATATATATATATATATATATATATATATATATTTGACTGGAACACAGCCAGAGGGCTAACTAACAGTGGTATGTTCTATTCCTCTCAGTACATATGGTCAACCTATAAATTCCAACCAGTGCAATGTAATAAGGTCTTACATAATCAGAAATGATCAGCTAAGAAATTGTATTACATAACTGGGCCAGTTACTGCATTATTGCATTTAATTACATTTTTGACCATGTTAAGTGCAAAGTCTCGCTACATTCCTGTCTGACATTGGGCCTCCCTCCCAAGCCCACACATTCCTGTTAAACAAATCTCAGGTTGCCAGGTGCTGCAAAATCCCTCAGCTGATTCTCTCCAGCCCCTTTGTTCAGCACTGCAGCCTCTGCTTCAGTCCCCATTCAGTACAGATGGCATCACGGGGAGTCTCAAACCCCTTATGTCTCACTCCTTTTGGCGATGGCAGGGATAATTTTGCGAAACCGTTTCAGCTTCTAGTGTCCTCCGTCTACAATGATGGGCAAACGCTTTCTCTAAGCATGCTTAAGGGACTGCCATAGTAACAGGAAGAGACTCCCGGGAGCAATCAGCATTGGTTTTGTGTGAAGCCAACTGCTAGCTATGCCAGCAAGGTGGCTCATTTGGTGCTGCTAGGCCAGGTTTCTTTCAGAGGGGAGAATGAATGCTGTTGCGCCAGCGTTGACTCATGCCAGGGATTTGCAAGATCCAAGCAGCTTGAGGTGGATTTAGACGAGGTTACACACATACCCACAAACAATCTTCCCTCTGTGATGCTTGCAAAGAGTCCTCTGCTTACCGTTGCCAGTCATGCATGCATAGTA